GCACTGCTGTGTTGCTGGATAATCTCTCACACATGTTATGCCTTTTTTGTCTCTAGAGGTATTAACGGGAAAATATTTACATTGAGATGTAAAAAGTTTTAGATTCTGTTTACTTTATTTTCCTAGTTTGCAACGATTTAAGCAAAAAAACAATAATAAAAATTAACTTTAGCTTGAATAGAATCTGTTGGCACTCACCATTCGAACCTGTAGCTTTAACCATACTGCACACATCAAGGCTTCAGATAAATTATTTCCTATTCAGTATGCTCTTAATAAGCATTCTTAACAACTTGTCATATAATTTCCTTCTTTTTTTTTTTATTATCAAAAGTGCTTAAAGTCCATTCACTAATAGAAAATAAAAAAAAAAAAATAAAAATCCATTTGCTTTTTGCTTGTGATAGAGACCTTTTCGCTTCCGTTTATCATTTTGAAGTAATTTGGAACTAATAGATTTTAAAGATTAACTCCAGAACAATATTAAAAGCAACGATTGTAAGCATTGCAACAGTTAAATAGACAGACATATATAGACTTACGGAAAAAGAACAAAAAAAAAAAAGCAATGAAAGGAAACAAGACTTTCTGTCTTCTCTGCTTCAACATTTTATACCCATCACATTCATTTTGTGAAAACGTTTGCGGCGCCCAAAACGAAACCCCGCAGAGACCCCGTAAACTATATGCATTCTTGATCAGCTTCAAATTCTAAATCATGTCCGTCTTTGCGTCTTTCTGTCTATGTAAAATCCGCTGTAAACATTCTCCCAGCCGCGAAAATGAATTTACCGACTGTAAATTTGGTAGAAACATTGGAAGTTCTTTCACGCAGGATGGTATTGAAAATGAAAGACACGCCTATAATACCACAGAAACTGAGAACAATCCCATTCTTCGAAAGAAATAAAAAGTAAGTGTTTTACTTATAAACTCTCATCAACTACAGCAGTGAAGTCTAAGAAAACTTGAGAGTGCATTCTATGGGCGATGCTAGCGCACCTGCACAAAAATGAAAAAAATTATACCGTCTATCTAGTATTAGAAACAAGTTCCAAATACCCCAGAAAATATATAAGTACTTGGAAAGTTTCAAATTTGGAAGGCTAAAGCTAAGCAGGCCCGTCGATTCGTCTGTTCATCTGTTCGTCTGCCCAACGAGCGTTCACGCATCGATTTGAAAAAGTATTTGGAGGTGATCGAAGATTTTCAAAGAAAACGCCCTCAACGCTCACTTGCATGCATATGTGATAAAAACTTGAAAATTTAGTTGCCTTGCTTTGTTCTCTCTCTTTTAGGTGCAACGGTGATGGGGCGAATATAATTTTCTGACTTGTTTAAGATCCAACCGATTTATCATGATGCTACACAAAGTCCACGGTTGAATTAAGTAATGCTTATAATCTTAGATATTTCATTAAATCTTCGTTGCTTGTATCCAATGAAATGATAAGTTTAGTATAAAACAGTGCGGTGGACATGAAAACTTGTTGTCTCCACGTGCCTTTAAAATGTGAATTTGTCTGATGTTTTTGGCTTGTAAGTACATTTTAGAATACATTGTGTATATATATATATATATAAATATTTATTTTGTACGAATTTTTCACTAATTAGTTTTTCCCTATATATATATATATATATATAAATCTAAATGATCTGTAAAATGTAAATTTGTTATCAAAAACTTTAATGTTTTGAAAATTTTCAAACTTTGCATTTAACTCTTTAACCAGCATTTGTGAATGTGCAAGAACCGTATGTTAATATATACGCATGGTTCACACCATATCCATTGAAGCCGGTATAGAAAATTAGTGAAAGTTTTATAAATAATCTGACGAATATAAAAAAAACAAAAAAAAAAATAAAAATAAATAAAATTGTTACCAAAACCTTCCTTTAAGCATTTTTAGCAAATAATCTTGGTTTGGATCAGCTGCCTTCAATAGCATCGAAACAGACTATACATAATATAAATGAGAACAAAAGTACTCTTCATTCTTGCTTTTAGTCACAGTAGTCTGCAAAAGTTGGACACTGTACGTCTTCCATAAGTTGGGTCTTTTTCTAACTTCTTCGTTTTCTTGACGTTTTTATAATGCCCTTAAAATATGCTACTGGTCTTTAGGTCATAAAGCCATAAATTATTATTATAATCGTCCCGGAATCTGTCAAACGTTTTGAACAAGGATTGAGTGCGTGCAGGTATTCCTTATCGGTTTCATCATATTTCAATGCAAATGTCATCACCACTCCTCTCTTGAAATGATGTTCGCGATCTTAAAACCTTATGGTATCACACTCTTTTTTTTTTTTTAATCACTCTCATCAAGAGATAAAGAGAATGGTTCGCACCGCAAGTGATGAAAGATGCGTCATGTTTTCTTATTTAGAAAGCTGGTGTCTAAAAATTCTAGACCTTTAAGCTTAGATTTTTCAATTGTGTCTAAAACTTTTTTGCAATGAATTTTCTCAACATCAAGCTGGAATAGTCGGTAATTCGAACCAATCGGGATATCGTTCTTACCTACATCTGGCATAAAAAAATATTGAAAATAAGAGGGAGTAAGTATTGCTTTACTTAAAAAGCACACCGATTGTATAAATATATTATTAAGGGTATTTGCTTTAGTATATCTATGAAGCGGTATACGATCCCTATGTCTATTGAATAAGTTTTACTTGTAACTGCAGTTAGATATATTTTTTTGCTCTGGAAGTGGCCAGTAAAAGTTGGATTCAATCCGATTATAAGCTTTTGTTTTTATGGATGCAATATATTTCATGTAAGCCTTTACTTAGGATGACATAACCTTACTTACATTTACGCTACGCTATACATTCACATACGCTCACCAATGAACCCATTGTTTAATTCTTTCGTCATTCAGTTCTTAAATCAACTTTTACTGAATCGACTAAAAGCATTCAATTGTTTATTATGCACATGTTTTGTAAATTAATTTACAAAGTAGGGATTTTTGTAAAGACTGCCGGATAACTTAGATCATATGCTTGCCTGTATTGAAAGCTCGACCGCACTTGAGATGTGAATCCGCGATCATTGAGTTGTTAGCTAAAATGCTTTGCCTACTTATGCGACCAAGGACTAATAGTATTTTTTTTTCACAGTTGACAGCATTTCTCTGTAAGACTAAGTGAGTTATGATCAAAAAAGAAAAGACACTCGTATCCGTTGGTGTTGAATTAATATTTTGTCTCTAAATAAATGTTGGACTTCAATTTGAATTCTCTTCGTAACTTTGCGATTACAGTAATACTGTCTTACAGTGTCATACAGTGGGCCACACCAATCCACAGTTATTCATAAAATGCCTTTAACTCTGATACTTGTTGATTAGTCGGTGATTAAAAAAATATATATTCTGTGTAAAAAGTGTCCAGAATTATTAAATAGCTACAAAATACTGTCAATGAACATGAAAAATTTGTCTAGGTCTTAAGTGTACTCCTTACAACTCATACGATGATTTTACCAACTACCAATATCGTAGCGTCTTCCTTCATAACGTCCACCCACGTCATCCCTATATTTCTCATATCCATATTGCTAGGGTTTTGATGGAAAGCAAAACTTGATACAAAAACTTGATTAAATTTGCTTTCAGCAAATAAAACGCTAAACACTTGCGGAAAAGGTATTGCGACGATTTTCTCACTTTGGTGAGTATTTAAAGCGACAATTTTCAAAATTGTAGACACTGCATATATGCATCAAATTGCTCTAATCAATAATATCACTGCAGATCGACAGTCTGAGAGTAAGATGGGCACGACTACGTTTTAGTTTATAGGGAGAAAACTAAGGGCCTTCCGTACTCGCACTCTTCGTTGTTGAATATGAAAAGGAACGCGTGGAAATTACAATTTGCCTATAACGAATACTAAGAAGGACTGAATTTTGATTCGACTTTCAGGTTATCTGATAATAAGGTAAATGTAACAATACATATAGTATAGTAGATCAGCAAAAATATCTGAATTATTATTGAAAATGTAATTGAAATCAGCGATCCATTCGTTATACATAACCTGGTTTCATTTTGTTTATGAACTATGTATAATTATTGTTACGCTTTTAACTCAATCTTGTACTCTTCATATATTAAGCTTCATAACGTACTGGTACACTGACCTACAGCAACATTCAAAATAACTTTTTGGTTAAACTTCATTAATACCTGTAGTGTTTGTGTGTGTGTGTATGTGTATATGTATGCACGTAAAAAATTTGGTAATACTTTGCCCGTACGTAACTGAAAAATATAAAAGTTGTTCGCTCTCTATCTCTCTTTACGATTTTTAACACATATATTGGCAATGAGAGACACAGTTTTCTAAGACAAAGAGAAGGTCTCCGTGCAGCGTCAAGAAGAAAATCACGTTCAGTTTAAAGCGAATCGTGGATACTCTTGAATGAATACATTGCTCAAATGAAATATTGTAACGCGGAAAACTTGCGTATTCGAATTTTCTTAACTACCTGCACGCTTGATATTATTAGCCACGATTATATATATATTTACGTAATTATGTCCATTAAATCCATATATCTGGGCTATTTTCTGATTAGGTTAGTTTAAACAGAAATACTGATGTCTTCTTTAAGCATTTTGTCTCCGTGTTTGCAACATTTGAAAAATCAACGAATAAAAGGCAAATAATAAGTAGGTTTAGTTTGTGATCTTCTTCTTACATTTATTTATTTGTATTACGAATGAAATGGTATAATTAATATAATTGCTAAATATATCGGATTTTGTTAAAGGGTCCAATGTCTATTTACTTAGTTTCCACTTGTAGTATATACATACTTGCAGTCTGTGTTAATTTAAATTGGGTTTGCTTGTAATCGTATTTGTTTTATGTAAAATATATATATATATATATATATATATATATATATATATATATATATTATTTTTAGTAAATTTATTGTATGGCGCATGCGTGCATGATTTTAACATGTTAGTGGTCATTGCATATTGGAGGTGTTCACATACTCCACAAAGCTGCTTACATTAGTAAATATTACAAAATTTACATTAAAAAGCTATAAGGCAAGCGTGTAGATTGAAATTTAACATAAATAAAAAAAAAAAAAAAAAAAAAAAAAAAAAAATTAATCGTTAATTGCAACTTCTTCTGCGCGTTCGATTATCAACAAAGTTAATTGAAAAAAACAAGTGAGAAATTGATTACGACTCGCGGCGAATCTTGGATACACAGCACCTAAGGTAAACCATTGAAAATCACCTCTGCCATTTGCTAATATTGATCATATCAATGGATCCGATCAATTAGTATATTTTTCTATGTCACTCTGTTAGATGTATTCAACTTTCCATCTTATCTATTGCGGATCCTTTCATAAGGAAAGTAAAGATTTGACTGTTTTTTTTTTTTTTTCGATATATGTTTTCTTTTGAATGCATTTATGGATCGAGCGGGCTTGATTTCAATCTTTGAATTCGAGCACATTTGGCCCTAGTTTTAGTAATAGAGTGAGCAAAGGGCCGGAGAGCCGGATACAACTAATTTAACTAATTTATCATTTGCCATCGAAAGGATCAATGTCCACCGACTTCTCGGACTTTTCACAAAATTTTATCAAGTTTTTGACAAAGTTAAAGAAAATCGTTGAATATCCTGGATTTGGATAGTAGAAATGTATGAAATTTCTTCAACTTTGCTATAATTACAGAGTTTTTATTAAACTTCCAGAAAAACCTTTTAATACAACATATGCACATCTAATGGATTGATATTTAATAAAGATTATGAAGATTCTTTTCAAACATAGACGAGATTTTGCTTAGCTTCCTCTGATGTTTTGCCGTTTTGTTAGTGTTGTTTTCAATTTTTCAATTTGTCAAAGTTTCTTACTTCATTTGTCGCCTTCAGATGATGCCTCACAAGTTCAATTTATACAAATTTTTCTTACGCAAGAAGGATTCCCTGGCGCTATAATCATCCTTATAAGTGAAAATTTATAAAAAAATTTTTCGATCATATACACGTCATATCTACATTATGTGATCGACATGCAAGTTAGAAAAGTGAAGTGTATCCGATATGCAGTTGCGAAGAGACTTGATTTAAGTTTTATAGCTAGTGTGCGATTTGCTGGTGATCGCCGATTAATGCGATCGTTGATGCATGTCATACTGTCATTGGATGTCATTGGAAAATGTAACGAAATAAGGTATTTGTATGCCATGACATGGGTAAAAACATTTTACTCCTTTCAGTTATATTTTATATAAACAGTTATATATATATATATAGTATACAAGTATACAAAAATAAGAGCAAACTGAAGATATATCTGCATGTCTTCGGTATGACTCCTCTGACTATGCGAAGATTGCGTTAAGCGAAGTTTATCTTTGTTTCAACAGTACGTGTTTTCGTATATCAAACAACTCTGCTGCTGCTGCATACTCAAGGTAATCAACTTTTAAAGCTAAAAGAAAAAAAAAAAAACAAAAAAAGGAGAAAAAATCACAAAGTTGGTTTAAAGTTTAAAGCCCATATGTTATTATTATTGTTTTTATTTCTGTATAAATCATATTATAATAATAATAATATTATAAATAATACATAAAAAAAAATAAATAAATAAACAAAACTAAATATATTTTATTAATGATGGATGAAGTGTTTGCAAAAAAAGCGTTCAAATTTATGTCGTTTTACGTGCAAATCATGTCATGATGTTATAGTCGGTGATAAAAGTTAAGCAAATTATATTTGTCTAGAGTGTGAGTGAATATGTGAAAACTAGGTTTATTTTTTTCCTTTTTTTCTTTTCATTTTAGTTAATAGATATTTACACGATTTTGATAAATATTTATGTTATCTGGGATCAATTTCTAAGTACTAAGCCAGACGTTACCGGTCTAAATGGATTCAAACTTTTTTTATTTTCCCTGAAGTTTTCTATATATTTTCATTTGTAAATTGTGAAGGTTTTCTTATACCCTACATTAGTTGTAGCACAAGGGCGTATTAAGATTGTGCAGATCACTTTTCGACTCGATGTAAACTTTTCTGCCTGTCTGTCAGTCTCTCCTTCTTGTCTTCCACTTATGGTCCCGCAATTTCGATGAAATTTCGATGATTGATGCGCGTTATGGAAATTGAATCCTATCGGGCGACTTTTTCGATCACTTCCCAAACAATCCCTTATTTTGGATAGTCGTCATATGAATAGCTGTGTTGGGGTATAGCGCATTTAGTGGTGGGCCATGGCCCACTATAGTGTTTTCATTTCTTTTAATTATTAAATATGTGTGCGGTTTAAAATGTTTATCGCTTTGATTTAGTATCAAGAATAGCGAAAATAATATTTACAAATAATGCGTTAAATTAATCTAAAAGAGTCTTCGTATATAGAGATTTTAAAAGTTTTTACATTAGGAACGGGAGGGCGACAAGCGAAAAATCGCTTAATAACAGCAATTGCTGCTGGTATCACGACATTATGTATTTGTTATGATTAGCCAGCCGGTAATCATATAATAATAAAACAAAAATCTAAATGTACATTGATATGTGCAGCGATTCACGATTAGTGTTAATTTGTGTGAGATGTTGTTCTTCTCTTTTCACTAGATTTACTAAAGGATATAGACCACATTCAGAAGGACTTGAGGTAGACCCATCTTTTATTGTACCGATGTTTGCCTGTCCGTTTTGCTTTCTTGTGCTCAACGTACAGTTCGCAATTTTTGATATATTTTGATCAAATTTAGTGTACCGACCTGTTTTGGTGCAAAGATCAACGCTATTGTAAATAGTTTTTTAGCTGCTTCTCCTTTATAACATATTAGTTTGGAAAGTGTATAATATGACTGAACTGCACAAAGCGAAGCGTCCTAGGAAATTTTACGCTATTACGTGACCCACTCTAAGGTTGTTAATTCAATTTCATTCTAATTTTAATTTAAGATTGACTCTGCTCTTTGGTTTTTATTACACTATGCTTTCGTTGAGCTCGGGAGACATGACTTTTCCGCTTTTCGCTTGACTAATAAACCCATTTAAACAAAGACTTTCCCGGACTGTAACGACAATCAGTGACTCTCCTTTAAATGCGTATAATATGAACTGCTAGTCCGTTAGTCGCTTTAACAAATCTTACTATAATCCGTTTGTCCTACTCATTACATATATAGTTCTGGTTAACACTTCACCCACAATCAATGTAAATGTTTTTCTCACGGTTTTTTTTTTTATGAAACTGACGGGCTAATCTATATCGATTTAGGTCTGTCAACATCTTTAACTAATTGTGCACTAGTCTTTCGATAGTTTCAAAACAATTTTATAGATGGGAAACTAAAACATGGCATAAGTATTCTTAGCTGATGGCTGGAAATTCAGTTTGAAAATGAACATGATCTGTTCACAATGACACTCGCCGGCTATTGATTTAAAACTTGGCGCAAGTTCATCAAAAATCTCACCGAAAATATGACCTTGACTGAAAAATACGCCCACCCGAAATCCCAATGTAGATAATGGATATTATAGATTAAATTATAAATAAAAAACTCCGCAGAGACGATAGAGTTGTTTGGTGAAGTGTAATTACTTTATTTTTAATTCTTTCTTTAATCACGACCACAATTTACGAAACGTATTCGTAGGTAGTGCAATAAAATCTCTAAACAATTATGATAGTATACGATTCGATTCTTATCGGGTAATGGGTAAAAATATTATTACAAAGCAATTAATTTTCTTTCAGGAAAAATGATTGTGATCGACACTAACGAATTTCAATTATTGTTGTTACCATTGCTCTCTCTCTCTCTCTCTCTCTCTCTCTCTCTTTCTCTCTCTTTGTATATTTAAACCAAATATACATTTGTCATTGCAATTGGAAGTCATTGTTTCAATTTTCCACTTGAACTTTTAGCATAACCAGGACACGAAAACATAATTTATTAAATCATTGCAGCGTTTCCAATTTGCATATCTATTTCTAACGTAGTCATGACAACTATTGTGGAATTTGGGTATCGTTTGTTGTTTCAAAGTTAAATTTTTGTGGATGCAAACCAATGCACGTGTAATACAATTGCGAACGTAAGCGTGATAAATTGCGTTTTGCACTCTGAATATAAAATTAAATTTAATAAATTAAAATTGAAAAGGAGAGGTTGAAGAATTACGGCGTCGCAATCAAAATCATTAAACCATATTTGTTGTAAGTGTATATACGAGGAAAAACTTAAAATAGATAGTAATTTTTATTGAAAAGTGCAAAACTCTAATAACGAACGTGCCAGTGAGAACGAGATTATGCTAAATAAATATTCATTTATATAATTTTTCATTTATTTTATTAATCATTTAATTTGCCCCATTCACATTAAATACTTCCTATTGTCAGGTATTTGCAAAAATTCGAATCATTGATCAATTTTTCATTTGAAAAATGCATTTATTTAGAAAAACAAACAATAAACAATTCAGATATGATGGAGCAGCTTCACCATAAGCTTCTACACAATTTTTGGCTGGAATCGCGGCAGCACATTTCTTCCGATAAACAACAAAAGTAATGAATTAAAAAGAAGAAGAAGAATTTCGAGAGGTCCATGATCGCTGTCGATGTCAACTTATGTTGAACAAGTCATTAGTATGAAATGGAGAAGCATTCAATTAGGTAAAGGAAGCTGAAAACTATCGAATTCAACTGTCATGTACTCTGGTTTGTACCTATAAAAGTCGCTGATCAAAATTTTTGCAAACACCTAATATATATATTTAAACGTAATCATCGTTAGCATATTGCTAAGGCAGCCAGAGTTAATAAAATTTTAATTAGCAAAACAAGTACGCGCCTCTTTAGTATCTTATTGTGTAATCGCTATAAAGACATGTGCTACAAAAAAAGTGTTGCTTTGTCTATTTGCTTTATGAAGGTTGTCGTCTGCCTTTCAAAATGGACAAAAAAATTATACATAAACCCGGACAGAAACTATATTTAGCTTTGATTGAATCTCTTGTCGCCATTAACTTGTATTGCATGTTTGATTACAAGATATGCTAGCACGACAATCAAGTTCACATAAACAACAGATCATAGTTTTGTAAGACTTGACAGCGTTACGTAGATTGTGTGAGTGTGTGTGTGTGTGTGTTGGAAAACCATTAACAGGCTTCCGTCTTGGCAGCGCGAGACTTTAACCCGCTAAAAACCACCCCTTCCTCTTCCCTAATCTGTGGCACGTATACCTTTTAGGTATACCTTTACAGGGAGGTTAGCCGTTTAGGCACTGCTGAAAAGCCCACGTTGACGCTCTTCGTGTTATTGTTTCCTCATAATGTTTGCGGCGAGCACACCTACCACCTTCCATATTATCAGGTCGTGCAACATATTTGTCAAAACATTGTCGGGGAGTAGTAATACTCCAATTTCCGTCTATAGTCTCTGTTGTTCGTTATGGTATTTCGGCCAGACAAAGAAAACATGCTCAGCGTCTTCGACGCAATCACAAAAGCTACAGAGTGGGTCCTGCTCTATTTTAAACCTATTCAAATATGCTTTAAAGCAAGCATGGCCGCTAATCAGCTGTGTTAAATAGAAGTCTAACTCATCGTGTTGCCTATTCACCCGGGGCCGTAACTTTACTATGAGCCGGTGCGTCCATCACTCGCTCTGCACCCGCGCTCTTGCCAAAGTTCCACCAGTTGCTGTTTTGCTCGCTTGTGCACTTGTGTGTGTGTGGGCGTGTGTGTTTTTGTGTGTGAAAAAGGTATTTACATTGTCTTACTTGCATAGGGAAAGAATTTCGATAACAACAATAATAAGCAAAGATGCAGAAATCACAAAATTATTCGTTAATTTTGCATTTGAAAAATTGCGGTTGAGGATAAGCCTTTTCTTGACCATGGCAAGCGAAAGCGAAAATTGCTCCTTCCACTTGACTTTTTTATGCATTGATTTGTCAAGCTCCCGAAGAGTGAATCATTTTCTATAATTTCTTCATCGTTTTATCCAAATTTATCCTTCATATAATTGATAATATTTACTAGGGAGCCCCGATATACAAAATACAGCAACTGGGGTAGTAAAATTCGAACTTGAATTCATACACTTTTGTTATTGAAGCCGTTGGGCTATTTCTTAAAAGTTCACTTTGTCTTAACGAGAATAGCTTTCAGAACTTTCTTAATGTTTTCGAGTGTTATCACCTCCGTCGGGCATCCAGATCATTCACCACAACTATCGACACATATAATTTTGGCACACACTTCCTTCTGTTCCCACGCTCTTTCTTGACTACCACCGAGTTATAGATACAAGATCATATTAGAAAAAAAAAAACTATCTAGTGATAGTTCATTCATGAATGATCGAAATGTAATGGAATTTTAATCGATGTCGTTGGAAAATAATGTGGATTTTTTGCGGAAGCAAGAATTCGGTGAAATAAAATAAAAAGAACTTTCGTGAGCGCATATGTGAAAGAATGCTTAAATCAAAGTTTCGTTGAGTAAAAGCTTTTGTTAGTAGCTGCTCGTTGTCAGATTAATCTACCGATCCGCAATAATTTGCAATTATGTAAAGGGGAAGCATATGCGAGTTAAGAGAAAAGGCAAAAAACAAAAAAAAAAAAAACAAAACGTATTTACGATTTAAAAGCCTTTACCCCTATTTTAAGAAGCAAGACTAATAATAAGTTGTAGTCGAAATGCAAACGAAAATTACGAATAAAAGAAAGTATTTTACATATCATGCAATTTTTTGGGCTTTTTTGATGAACTACTACTACTTCCTATATTCGTGAGATCTTTTAACAATAATAATAATACGTTCATTACGATCAATGTCTTTTTCGATATATCAGTTTATACGTTCCTTCATATCTCTATCCCTTCATATGATGGCTTAAAACTTATTACAAAATTGAAATTAGTTTAATAATTGACACAGAATGTAGGATTGCAGGTAAGCGACGAATTCATAGAATAGATGCATGGAAATACAATTATTTAAGCGTTACAAATTTACAATAGCTTCGTGGAAGCTGTTATGTTAATAATTACTTACGCTGTTAATTTCTTTTTGATTTGTTCTTTGCAACTAGAATAGGGCTTGAAAAATTTTCTAAGCTTTTAAGCAAGATAGAGGTTTTAAAGCTACCACATTATCAGTTCTAGCTATGTCGCAGATAATTCAATAAAAATTTCATTCAATCATTCATAAACCTGCTATATTTAGTTCCCTTCTGCTTTTCATTCAGTTGAAATGTACGTGTTATTCTTAGTTATTATTCAATGCTTTTTTCTTTCCAATGGTCAATTTAGTGAGTTTTGTTAAATACTGTTACACATGTACAGATAGTTATGTGCGTTTGATTGCTTTATTAAATTTAGGCGAATGTGAAACGGATTTATTAGGGCAGGGCTGGTGCGTAGCTGAAGACAAGTGCAAACTTATGGAAGTGCTTAAAAATGAACATAAGGCGCGCTTACGATGCGGTACTCAGGATAATGGAAACCTTGTAATTAAATAAAAAAGTAATCCATTTTCTCTTCACAGAACTTAACAAAAAAAAAAAAAAAAAAAAAAAAAAATTAATTTCTTTTAGTACTGCTGTCCGCAATGCCTGACAAATCGGTCACAAGTCACCAGTGATAGCGCTCGAACCGACGATCGTTCGTCGCGAAACACTCCGATAACATGTGGCCAAATGTTGGCGCCACGCATTTCGGGTGGCACCAAGACCAGCATAGCTGAATTCCCTTGGTCTGTTTTAATCGAACATGTTAAAGGTCTTTTCTATGCATATATATATATATATATATATATATATGCATGTATATATGTATATATGTATATGTGTATATTGCTTTTCGCGAACTAAGAATAAGAGATTCTAACTCTTTGATGTGACTTTTACAGAAGACGGTACGAAAGCCCACTTCTGTGGCGGTACTTTGATAGCGACCAAATGGATATTGACCGCTGCTCATTGCGTTAGGGATCCATATGCCAAGAATCTTCAAATAACTGCTGTACGTTTGGGTGAATGGGACACCGATACCAATCCTGATTGTCAAACCGACGTACGCGGCAATCAAGACTGCGCTCCTCCTTACGTCGAAATAAGTGTCGATAGAGTTTTGCCGCACGATTCATTCAATATGTCTCTAAATGGAATACGCTTTGACATAGCTTTACTGCGTTTATCTTCTCCCGTAACGTATACAGATTTTGTTCGACCAATTTGTATACCGTTAAACGATACTCTACAATCTTTGGATTTTATTGGTTACTCGCTAATAATTGCTGGCTGGGGTCATTATAATTCGGAAAATGTTATGAGCAATGTACTTCAAAAAGCTACCGTCAACGTTGTACCGCATCGAAAGTGTGATTTACAATTTCGTAAATACTACATTGCATTAAGTAAACAAGAGATTTGCGCGGAGGGAACGGGAATAATAGATACATGTTTGGGTGATTCAGGCGGCCCATTGATGTACGAAGATTATGGTATGCATAAAACTGCTCAATGGTATTTAGTTGGTATCACTTCTTTCGGTAGAAGCTCGTGCGGTACCGGCTCTCTACCTGGCATTTATACTCGTGTTAGTGAGTATATAGATTGGATATTGAATACTATAACAAACAATTTAAATTAGAAACAAAATAAATATATACAAAAAGTATAAAAGTACAAAATTAGTCGCACCAAGCTTAGCGTAATAACTGTCATTCAAATATAAGCTAAAGTGCAATTAACAACGAACTCAATTTGTGTAATAAATAAATTTCATCTATTTGATCTGGGTACGTTACGGTGTGACATAATGCTGTTGGGCATTTCCAATTGCTTTTTGATAAAGACTAATTTGTAATCATTGTAATCATAACGAAACACATGGTGTCTCCATTTGATTCTATATATGTATGTATACGTAATTCAGTACATTCTATAGATAATTGCAATATACGTCGCCCTCTATGTCTGCTGTTTTTGAAATTTCATTAAATTTAAAAAAAAAAAAAATTTACAAAAAAATTTATTATTAAATTTATAATATTTAATCTTGCCAACCATTCTATAATATTTTGCAGAAGAGAATTTGTTTTTTTCTTTTCTCAGTGCCTAATTGTATGCTTAATAATGTCCTCGAATATTACCAGTCTCTCAGCTTTTAATCCACTTCAAAATAAAATGTTCAAAATATGCTTTTATGTGCTCAGCGCTACTTGTGAGGGAAGGCCTTCGAACTGTTGCGCGAATGTATGCAAAACCCGAAGGAACTTCGAATGGATCTGTCCATTATTATACTACGAGGTTCACAATCATTTTCTGCATAAATTTAAGCTTGTCTACCCATCTGCCTGTATGTTTGTCCGTGTATCGTTTAACCTATAGGTCGGCAAATATTTTCCGATATTTTGATAAGACTTGATACACTCACGTCGCTTGATCCACGCAAAGCGGATTGGATCAGAACACCTTTACGACCATTATCCATAAAATTTGATTTCTTTAGAAGAAGTCATTATATGAAAACGAATAGAAATTTTTAAAATTTATCAACAAAAATCGATAAAGTGATAGTATTTCAGAAATTTTAAATTGATGGTAAAAACTTGGATTGGGCTTAATTTTGAATCTCCTTTCCATATAACGGTTTCTTGCCTGGCAAAAACATTTAATATTTAACGCTTTATGATGAAATTGATATAAAATTGAATGACAGAAAATTGGAATCCGATCGATCTATTTATCGATGAACAGACGGACATGTTTAGATGTATTATAATTTGAAACTGGCCAAGAATTTATATACTTTTTGTTGGTATAATAAAGCTATTAAAAAATTAAATTTTGATGTACTATATACATTGCGTAGGCGCGGTCACTTTTTCTCATTTTCGTAAAAGGCATTTTTCCCATTTCGTACAGCATCGCCTATAGAATACATGCTCAAATTTTCTTAGATATCTCTGGTGTAGTTTATAAGTCCCACTATTCCTTTTGAAAAACAGCGGAGTTCAGTTTACGTGTGGGCGCGTCTTTCACTTTCAATACCGTCACCCTGCGTGAAAGAATTTTTAATGGTTCTGCCAAATTTGAAGTCGGTAGATCCACTTGTGCAGCGACGAGAACGTTTGGAACAAACATTGCACACGCGGTCAGTCAGATATGCTTGAATCGATTCAGAATTTGAAGTTGATTAAGAATATATGCACTTTTGAGCCCTCTGCAGCTCCCTTCTGACAAATCCTCATACCTCGATGTTGGCTATAAAAAAAGCTTTGATCACGCAGTTGGCACACCAGCAATAAATAGGAGCCTTTGCAATACCACTATACATTTGGCGGGCTTTTGATCAGAATATAATATGCAAAAAATTTGTTCGATTTTTAGAAGCTTGGCTAATAAAATTAACCGATATGTTATTGTGAATATTAAAGAAACTTAAAGCAATTTTTATTGAAAAAAAAAAAACAATGTTTTAAGTAAATTCCTTAGAATCATAATTTAAAAATGAACTCATAACCAGCTGAGTGAAAATGTGAACGCACGTAAAATATTGAATGAATTTTTTTTAAATACCAACTAATCTCCTCTTATCACCGTCAGATATAAGATATTGGTTGATGGTCGGTTCTTGTTCTTAATGTGATTTGTGAATTTACGCACATGCACACTACACCTTAATTAATTGATTCTCAATTGATTTAATACAATTGCTAATTACTTTGCTCAATCATGCGTTATTATTGCCTTTTATTTGGTAATGGAAAGCAAAAAAAAAAAAAAGAAAAGCAAGTAAAGAAATTATATTCGGTCGGGACCGAATCTTTTATACCTATCATCAGTGGGCGCGGTTGTTTTTTCTTTTACACTTCTCTGTTACACTTTTTGAGTAACAAGCGACAAATATGAAAAGCAAAAGAGTGCACAGGTTTTTAGGCGAGTAGACATGTTCTTTGAAAAATGTTGGGTAATTCTCAAACTCTCTTGCAAGTTTATAGGCGATATTTTCGGTTTTTGAACGAGGGATTATTTACCACAGATACGACATAGTTGCGCTGACGGGGCATATCGACAGATGAGTGTAGGGACATACGTAGGTGCTTTCCGAACTTGAAAATGGACAAGAAGTTATATACTTTATGGGATTTTAGAAACTTCCATTTTTTCCATTTTTACCGAGGCACTATGACATCGTCAATAGAGTTCAAATTTTTATAGGTTTATCGGTTACAGTTTACGGTGAATGAAAAAAAAAAAACAATTTTTTATTCCTTTTATTCGCAAAAACAAAGATGTCTTCGCTTTACGTAAAACAGTAGCCGTGTCCTTCTATCGATTTGGCCCATTTGCCAATATCAGCCTGCTTGCAACGACTTCCAGATAGACATTATATAGGCCAGACGGGGCAACAGATCGATGGACAGACGGACATGCTTAAATTAATTAAGAATTTGATGATGATCAACAATATATATTATATTTATGAGGTCTCTGATACTTCCTTCTGAGTGCGGCATACGTTTCGATAAAATAAATATACCCCTCATCCTTCGGTAAAAGAAACAAAAAAAACAAAAAAAGAAAGGAAAAACAAAGAAATAACAACACCGGCAACAATTGCGTCAGTATTAATATTAGTAAAAGGTTTCACAGGTGACAAGCACGAAATATGAAAAAAACGAAATAAAAGTTTGCAGACATCTTAGGGCGATTCATAAATACCCGGCAGTTCAAGCTAATAAATGAAATTTTGTATTCTTCCTTAATAGATAAGTAAGTCAGCGAACCGACTTTGACCATTTCTTAGACAAAAATTCTAACGTCACTCGTATCAGCATTAATTGTATAAGTTTCGATGCTAAGCGATTGACATATATTTTGTATATGTAGATGTTTGTAATCATCTTATACATTAAAACCTATATTTTAGCTGATAATTGCTGTCGACTTGTTTCTCGGTTAACTAACGTATTCTAATCAAGTTTTATTAATTTGAATACATATAGAAATTGTTGCAAAGCACTTTCGAATAAACAAAGGCAAAAAAATGCAGACAGTTTTGCATACAAAGTATATATTGTAGTCATCAGTGTAGGGTAGCAAATAGCAATAAGTCGAGGGAGATAAGTGGTAGCGAGTTATAGAATGTGGTAATAGACCGATATAAGTTGTAGTAAGCAGATGCCATGAATGAATTATGGGGTGCGATCTGCAATAAACTCCTGCTATTCCGTTGTACTTCGGAGACTTTGACTTAGCTATTTCCTGAGCTCGGCAAAAAATAATCGATAATCGAATTGATTGACAAACTATTGAAAGCTGATATCGACTTTTATGAAATGCTTTTGTTCTTTCCGGAGCGACTTTTACTCTTGATTCGCATAAACGTCAAGTCCTTGGTCAAAATACGAAAGATGCCATTTGTGTATTTGATTAAGTTTTCCGTTTCCCGTAGTTGCAATTTTAGGAAACCGTCACTCATACATGCACATATATATACATACTGCATTAAACAAATGTCCAAAATATACCCCTTTGGTACATTTGGTTTTTAATTTCCAGTTCTGGTGAATAATTAAAGTAATTTCTGTAATTTGAGAATAAAAGAAAGCAAAAGTAAGCCAAAGGAAATTTTTACCTTGTATATGAGAAAATCCTATCTATATTCACCTGATCAATTACTCACATTTACATTATTTGTGTTTTCTTGTTTTCAGCCAAATATTTTTATACCCTATGTAGGTAATACCTAGGAGGGCTTAAGGTAGACCCAACTTTTATTATACCAGTCTAACCGTGTCCACCCGTCCGTCCCTCTCTTGTCTGCCCATGCTTTTTTTGCGTCCAACCTGTAGTCCACAATTTTTCAGATATATTTTTATGAAATCTTGTACCCTGACGTGCTTTGACCCAAGTACAAATGCTATTGGAAATGCACCACTTTTTCGACCATTCCCCATATGATGCCTCGTTTTAATAAGTCGTTCTAAGAAAAACGAATGGGAGAAATATCGCTTAGTAATAGTATATTGACATTTTAAATTGGTATAAAAAACTTTGGACCGAATTTGGGGCAATATTTTGAAAATTTTTGCCGTATAATACTCATTCCCACGGGAATTGATTCTTCATGTAATTTTCTAATACTTTTAATGAAAATTCGTTCATATAATAGTAATTTGGCATAAAAATTAACATCTGAACTTGGACCACGTAAGTCTGTTTTTGGATCCCAACCCATATAAGGGCGCTAAGGGAGAATAAGCCTGTATATGCCAAAGTCTATTTTTTTAATACTTTATGATGAACATTTGTTCTTAATAAGTCATCCATAGGGAATTTGGAGGTAGAGGTTCTCATGGCATCAAAGTCTGATTTGCGGTTTGTTATGATGGAAGAGCAACTAGAAAATAATAAAATCTTTGACAAATAACTTGGGTTTGCCAAATTTAGCGGCAGCGTAACCGTTTAAGTGCCCCCCCCCAATATGCGAGGCTTTAGGAAAATTATGCATTTGCATAAAAATAAAAGTTAGGTGTAGGGTATCTTGTTCCACTATACAATTCATAATTATTTTTAATAAGACAAATATTTCTTTATCGTATTCTGGAGTTCAGTCTTCATTTTCTTTCCAATCTTTATTGCTCCACTATTTCTTTTATATTATAGTAAAACATATTTTTTATTTACTGACTGTTTTTATTCATAAACCAAAAACTTGACATCACTTACAAATAAACGATATAGACATTGAAACAATCCTATATATAATTGCAATTGCACTGCCCAACGAAGAGTGCGACAAAAGTATGCACTCTACGCAGACAAAGACAATGTAGAATTCATATAAATTTGCCTTTTTTGCTAGGGTTCGCCTTTATGACGCATATAAATAAGCACTTTCCCAATGCCATGGATGTTTTTGGATGTTTTGTGGAGCAGGAATGATTTGGAATGATTTCTGATTTGTGTTGAACGAAGATAATGATATCCGAAAATATT